GCAGGGCAGGCGGGGCCGCTTGTACGGGAGGCCTGGGAAGAGCGCAGGGCTGGAAGCCGGCGGCCAGGGTCCCGTCCGGCTCTGCCTCTCCTTGGCTGCTCCATGCTAGACCAGCTGGAGAACTTCCCAGCAAATCTACACACAGCCCCCATTCTGTGGTTCACTCTGAGGTGTATGTGTCAGGGAGGGGGTGCCCAGGATGCCCATGGCTCTTCCTGAACAAACTGGGAGGATGACAAGAAAGAGGAGACAGAGGTGACGGAAAGCCAGTGTCCGGGTGTCACAGGCAGGGGCGGGGGACAGGGTTGGGAGTTGCATGAGGGAGACGTGCTGGGACTGGGTGTGGGCGGGGCTGAGGGGCACTGCTGCTGTCTTCTTGGATCTTTTCTCATGCACCTGCCTTGCCTTTGTCATCACAACAGAAAGCCAACATCATTTGTTAATAACTGAAGAACAGGACCACAAAGAGGGCAGAAGAGTTTGTGGGGAGAAAATGGCTGAGGGCAGTGGGCGGAGGGGCTGGGAAAAGTGGAGAAGGGAAGGCTGGGGGAGAGCTGGGCTTCAGAGGGGACACAGAAGGGAAGCTGGGGCAGGGCAAGGAAGGTAGAGGGAGGGACCCAGGCAATGATGGTGTCATCTTGTTAGCAGCCTCTCGGGGTGGGGTGGGAGGGTTGGAAATTGCCCAGCAGGGACCTGGAGCCCAGCTGTGACTCTGGCAAGCTCCTAGGTCTCGCCTGCCGTGAGACTGGCCTGGGACTGGAAGTACAGCAGCTGCAGTGGGGGAGACGCTGGGTAGGAATGTGGGGCCCAGGACTCTGCAGGGGCTGTCGGGGAGGAGAACATGTCCTCTGCCTGAAGAGGCTGGCTTTGGGCAGGGCCGCAGGGAAGGCGTGGGGCAGCTGTCAGGGAGCGGAGCTGATGGGGGCAGGAGGGAGAGCAGTTAGACTCCAACCGTCTGAGAGGAAGGCAGGAGGGTGTGGGCGGTCTGGAGGGTTGCCCCACAAACAGGGGCTGTGCAAGGTCTCATGGAGGAACTCGAGGCAAGGCAGAGGGCAGAGTTCCTGCTGAGGGTGGAGCTGTGTGCAGAGATGCACCTGGGAGGCACCAGGAGAGGGCACAGGACAGCCAAGAATGGGGAGAAGGTTGAATGCCCGGCTCCCGAGTTCCAGGCAGAGGCTGGTTTGGACTTGGGAACCATGAGGACCCTTTCCTCGATGCCAGGAAGGGGCTCCACAGCTCCCATCAAGGGCCTGGGCCACAGCCTCCCTCAGACACCTCCTGCAAGGAGCCACCCTGGCACCCACTGTGGGGAGGAGCAACGAGGCTCCATCTGCACACAGGGCTGGCCAGCAGCGGAGCTGGACACATTCTCCTATCCACTTGCCGCCCCCAGGCACGCTCAGTGCCTCAAGACCCTAACAGGATGGCCAAGGAGGGGCCGGCTGCCACTGACCTCCTGCAGGTGATCCCACAGGTCCCGGTAGATGGTGTTACTGTAGGCAAAGGTGTGCAGATAGGACTGTGGAAAGACGGGACACGGTGAGGGCACAGCTGGGCCCCCCAGGCTCCCCCTCTGTGGTGGGCTAAGGCCTGGGACAAGGTCAAGGGGGGAAGGAGACCCACCTCCACGGCTGGCCCAGGGCTTGGTACTCACCGCCAGACCCTGCTTGAACACATCCTCGGACAGGAAGCTGGAGAGCATCCTGAGGACTGCGGCGCCCTGGGGGGGCGGAGGCGAGGGGGTGGTCAGCGGCTGTGCCGAACCAGCAGGGCCCTGTGCCCCCAGACCCCAGCTTCATTCCCTGCGGGCCAAGTTCTCACAAATCTTTAGTAGTGATTTGGGAGATTTGGGTGCATCCATTACCCTGGCACCCCTGCCAACCCCCAGGAGGAGCACGCTGTACCTTGCTGTAGGAGATGGAGTCGAACTGCTCGCTGATCTGAGCCGACGTGCTGACCTCCGAGGCGGGAGTGGACAGCGGGTGGGAGGAGACCAGCGCATCCACAGCCATCACGCGATACACGTCGTTCAGCACCATGAGGTCTTTCTGCACATTTCCCAGGGCCATCAGGAACGGTGGCCCAGGTCTCCCTCCACACCCAGCCCCCTACCACACCAGCCTCCAGGGCAGCTGGCTCACCAGGTTCCAGCTGGGCTCTGCATAGTCAGCACCCAGGTACTCCACGTAGGAGGCAAAGCCCTCATTCAGCCACAGGTCATTCCACCACTCTACGGTCACCAGGTTCCCGAACCACTGTGGAGGGGAGGGGTCAGCTGGGCAAGCCACGCCTGGGCCGGGCACTGAGAGTCCCAGAACGACCCCCCTCAGGGCTGACTGCCCTGCCGGGCACAGCAGGGACTTCACCAACATCATCGTGACCCCTCCCACTGCCCTGCCAGGCACAGCAAGGACTTCACCAACATCATCGTGACCCCTCCCACTGCCCTGCCGGGCACAGCAGGGACTTCACCAACATCATCGTGACCCCTCCCACTGCCCTGCTGGGCGGCACCCTCCTCCCTTCTTAGCAGCCTGGGGTGGAGCCCGGACATGCCCATCTCCTCCCAGAGCCCCATTTCCTTCTCCGCACCCCCCAAGATGGGGGGCTACCTGGTGGGCCAGCTCGTGAGCAATCACAGTGACCACCCGCTCCTTGTTGCTGCTTGAGGAGGACAGGGGGTCGAACAGCAGGGAGTTCTCCCGGTAGGTCACCAGCCCCCAGTTCTCCATGGCACCAGCATTGAAGTCAGGCAGGCCGATCTGGTCTGGGGAGGCGAGGCCATTGGCAGGGTGGCCTCCGGGAGTGGAGCTCTGCCCACTGCCTCCCACCTCAATGACCCCCACTCACCTGATTTTGGGAGTGGGTAGGATGTGTTGTAATGACTGGCAAAGAAGTTAAGGATGGGGCCTGTCACGTTCAGGGCATAATCGCCGTGGCCTGCCGCAATGGCACTGGGCCGGGCCCAGATCCGGATCTGCAAGGTATGAGGAAGATGCGGGCCAGGGGCCCCTGTTCCACCCTGGGGCAGGCGGGCTGAGTCCCAGGGTACAGTGGGCTGGGGGGACCCCCAATGGGCCAGGGCTGGGGGCCAACCAAGCTAACCCCAGAGGCCTGGTCAGCAGACGGAAACGCTAGGGGACTCTGGAGGCTGTGGGTCCTAGAGAAGGGCCTTTGGAAAACGACAATCGGCACAGCCACCGTCTGTCTGGCACTGGTGCGTCAGGAACTCCCTTCATGAGGAGAAACCATTGTTTTCATTTTTCAGGTGCAGAAACGGAGAACCAGAGAACTTAAGGCCCTGGCCTGAAATCACTCAGAGCTGGGATTCAAACCCTGGCCTAACGATTCTGAAGCTGGTACAGGGGTGAGGAGAACGGGCAGAGCCCTCATGCCAGGGTCAGCCCTGGGGAAGGAGAGATAGGCCAGCCTCATACCAAGACGCCGTTGGAGGCCTGCTTCTCCACGTAGGTGAACTCGCTGATGATGAAGGCCAGCAGGTACGTGGACATCTTGGGTGTGGGGTGGAACTCGGTGACCATCCAGTTGGGGTCTTCTGGAAGTGGGGTGCTGGGACCTGGGCAGGGAGCGTGTAAGTGTGTGAGAACGTACTCTCCTTCCCCGCACGCCAGCCCCAGGGTGCCTGGCCCCCTGCCATGTGGCCCCAGGCGGGGCCGCTCACCTTTAGGAAGCATGTTGGACAGGGCCGTGAGGTTCTGGGGGTGGATGAGTGTGATGTTGAACTCGGCCTTCATGGCTGGCTCATCAAAGCACGGGAATGACTTCCTGGCGTCCGCGGCCTGCATCTGCGTCGTGGCCACCACCCTGCCCCAACCAGGAAGTTAGAGGGTATGCCAGGGCTGGTGGGGGGGCACTAAGGATGCTCCGGGGCATGCAGGGAAAGGGGTCCACGGATGGCTGCTCCAGCCTAACCCCTGCTCCCTCCACCACCCGGGAGCCCCGGAGCCCTGCCAGGCCAGCTGACTAGGGGAGGCCGGGGTTCCTTCTGGACTTGGTATATCAACAGGCTCTCAGGGACCTCAGGGGCTTTCTCTCCTCTGAGCCTCAGTTTTCCTGCCTGTCCAAGGGACACTTTGTCCTTCATCCCCAGCTCCCTGCTGCGGGGTGGAGAAGCCCTCCCAGTTTGGAGTGTTGGCAGCGGCTCTGCCAGCAGCTGGAGGTGAAGTGATGGGCCTGCCTCCAGCTGCACAGGGTTCAAAGTCAGGCAAGCTGCGCACTTCCCTGGCCCCCAGAATCCAGCCGGGCCTCGGCCCCTCAGACCCACCCCTCTGGGCAGCCCCAGCAGGAACTCACTTTTTGACATTGCCGTCCATGTACTCGCTGCGGTAGAAGCCCGCCAGGTCATCAGCCAGCTCCCCCACGAACGTGCTGCTCATCTCATACTGGCTGTCCTTCACTAGGGAGCTCCTGAGGTGGACCACCAGGTACTCGGTGGGCTCCACCAGCTCGGTCCTCTCAATGTCGGGGGCCTGGGAGCCTCCCACACCGCGCAGGACCACCCGGTGCCCCTCGACGACGGTGTAGTTGAGCTTCTTGCTGTGGATGATGATGACGTCAGTGGCTACCACGCAGGTGAAACGGACGGTGCTGGTGCCATTGAAGACATACAGGCCCTGGTCATTGGGGGTGAGGTAGGGCTGCAGTGTCACCTGGTAGGAATCGGGTTTCAGTGTGTCGGGGAGGCGGTAACGGTTCCACGGTTTGCTTTGGTCCGCGGTGGTGGCGCCTGAGGCGGACGTAGTGGTGGTGGCTGAGGTGGACGTGGTGGTGGCGCCTGAGGCGGACGTAGTGGTGGTGGCAGCCCCGAGGGAGCTCTCGGCGTTCTTGTTCTTCTCCTGGGCGTACACCACCGACAGTGCGATGATGGTGCACAGGGCCGCCACACCCAGGGCGATCCCCCCGATGCCCAGGTACTTGGAAATGTAGAAGCCCTTGGCCATGGTGAAGGTGGGGAGGCGGCTCAGGCAGCCTCAGGCCAGGCAGAGAACGGAGCAGCCCTGGTCCGGGCTTATATTCCCAACAGGGAGGAGCCCCACAGCAGGCAGACAGGGCAAAAATTAACCAGGCTCCAACAGCCGAAGGTCAACGGACTGGTCAGGGGCGCGCTCCGCCCACGGCTCTGGAGAGATCCAGGAACAGCGCGTGGAGCTGGGCTGGGGTGCCTGCTGGAAACAAACAGTGTCTGGTTACAGGCTGTGCACCGCCTGGGAGCAGGCCCAAGGGCTGAAGGGCAGGCTGTGGGCTGCAGGCCCAGCGGGCAGAGCAGGCAGCCAGGGGGCATTGCATTGATCTGCCTGAGAGGTGAGCAGGTGGGACAGCATCAGGACTGAGGTTAGAGTCAGGGAAGGACTTCCTCCAGGCAGGAGGTGGGAAGCGCACAGAGAAGCGTGAAGGCGGTTCCCGGCTCCTGTTAAGAACACACTGGGGTCACTCCTTCAGCTGCATCTCTGGAAAGATGCCAGGGGCTCCTCGCTGACAAGGTCCCAGCCTGCCTTGCATTCTTCCAGAGCAGAGAGTTCCTGCAGGTTCCCCTCGCTGCCCCTTCTTGCCAAATACCTTTCCCTCCATTATCAGTTCACGGAATAAAGTGAAATGGGTTGTTTTGCTTTTCCTTTCCAGCTGTGACCTCGGGCAGGTAACTTTACCCTTCTGAACCTCTCTCCTCATAAATTACAGTTTTTGCCTCTCAGGTTTGTTGAACAGATTTAATGAGAAAACAAATTAAACACCAAATAGTAGAATGATTAAAAAAAAAAAAACTCAAAGGCTGGGCATGGTGGTTCACACTTGTAATCCCAGCACTTTGGGAGGCCGAGGCAAGCAGATCATCTGAGGTTGGGAGTTCATGACCAGCCTGACCAACATGGAGAAACCTCATCGCTACTAAAAATACAAAACTAGCAGGGCGTGGTGGCACGTGCCTGTAGTCCCAGCTACTCAGGAGACTGAGGCAGGAGAATTGCTTGAACCTGGGAGGCAGAGGGTGCAGTGAGCTGAGATCGCACCATTGCACTCCAGCCTGGGTGACAAGAGTGAGACTCCACCTCAAAAAAAATAAATCATTCCCTTCTTTCGTACCCAAAGCTCAACAATTGCCTCTTGGTATCCTTGGTAGGAATGAAGACATTACTTACCATACTCAATAAAATACACCCTTACAGGAAAATGATGTTCACTGTCACTCCCCATCCACCAGCCGAGCTTCTCAGACCTCGACACCGTGTGGCCTCAGTCCACATCCAGCTCCCCTGCACTGCCCCAGCTCAGGATGTGCTTGCTCGAAGCCATTCTCATAATTTATGTGGACACAGCAGCGCCCTTATGGACTCCCTCCCTCCCCTCAGGCCTGCTTGAAGCTGCTCAACACAAATGGGATTTTATGCCACTGCTAAAAAACCTTCCTTTTACTCGAATAATCCATTTTTTTATTTTTTGAAATAGAGTCTCGCTCTGTCGCCCAGGCTGGAGTACAGTCACGTAATCTCGGCTCACTGCAACCTCCGCCTCCCAGGTTCAAATGATTCTCCTGCCTCAGTCTCCCGAGGAGCTGGGATTGCAGGCACCTGCCACCACACTCCGCTAATAGGTTTGCATTTTTAGTAGAGACAGGATTTTACTACGTTGGCCAGGCTGGTCTTGAACTCCTGACTGATCGCCTCAGTATCCCAAAGTGCTGGGATTACAAAGTGCTGGGATTACCATGCCCAGCCCAGCCCAGACCTAAAGGGACCCACAAGCCCAGGTGCAGTTGACCTGCCCATTTCCTGGCCTCTTCCCCTCTCACAGTGCTCCAGCCACTCTGGCTTTCATCAAGCCCCAGGGCCTTTGCACATGCTGCTCCCTCTGCCTGGGTCTTCTCTTCCCTATTGCCCTGGATAATTCCTCTCCATCCTCCAAGTCTTCTGCTCCTGTGAGCTCCAGCAGCTCCACAAACCTGTTCTGCAAAGTCCCAGAACCCAGTTCAGCTTTCCCTTTCATTTATGTGGTGATCACTCGACTACAGGTCCTGTGAGAGCAGGGCCTTGGTTGCCTTGGCTCACCAGCACTTAGCACGGGGCTTGGCACACTGTAGGTGCTCAATACAGAGATGTCGAGTGAACGCAAATTGCATGAAGGACTGAGTGAGTGAAAAAATGAGTCAGCCCAGGAGAAACTCCTTACCAAGGTCCTTCTGGACTTTGTCTCCTGGCTTGTCCCTGCCCTACACCTTCCCTGGAAGAAGTGCTTTTGCCTCTTCTGAGCCCTCTCCAAGCACGGCAGGCGGGTAGGACTCGTGTCAGGCCTAAGCATGCCAGGGCCCACATGCCTTCCTGCTCCCTCAGCTCTGCTCCCTGAGGGCCTCATGCATCTTCCTCCCCTACCACCCTGAGCTTGCAGGAAGGCTTGTGAAATAAATGCACGTGTGAATTGAAGGGACACGTGGATTAATTCAATCAGGCATCAGCAAAAGACAAATGACTGCCACCTCTCATCTGGGGTGTGGAGGCCAGAGTCTGAGCACAGGGTCTTTGTGGGGGGTCCTGGGTGTCCACCTTTGAGACTGAGGGTGCCCCAAGCCCTCGGCATTTCCCCAAGAGGCCTTGGTCTGGGCCCAGCAGCCACCCCATTAGGCTTGAGTGATGGCCCCAAGGGGCACTCATGGGAAATCAAGTGTCTTGAGGGCTCCAGCTTGAGCGTGGCAGGAGGGAGTAGCGGCTCCCAGCACACGCCGCCAGTCTCTTCCCATCACGGTGGAATTTGCCAAGGGAGGCCATCTTTATAGCACCCCCTAGGCTGGCACTGGGGCACCATGCCCACCCTGAGCGGTCTTTCGACATGTCCCTGATTGAGCCTGCGGCCCCCTCCCACCTTTGCAGCAGAAAGACCCACAAGTCAGCCTGGCCTAATCCGTTTTCTAAACAAAGAGGCCCTGCCTGGCCCACCGTGGTCTCTTCCTGTTTGCTTTGGATCCAGACCATAGGCCCAGCTGGCTGGAATCTTTGCTCTTCTGGACAAAGCTGCTGGTCTTCCAAGTTGGTGCAGCAAGCAACCCCAAGTTGGCCCTATGAGAGGTCCCTGCTCTAGGCACCAGGCCAGCCCAGGCAGGGGGCACAGACAGTCATACTCTGCAGCACCCCCTTCAGGAACACACAAAAGGGCTTCCCTCCTCCAGCCCCCTGTCTCGGCCCAGGCCTGGCCACCTCCACCATCGGGCAGTGGAAGCTTTGCTGCCCTCCCCTGTCACCCAGTCCCACCCAGCACATCAGCAGAGGGCCCTTCGTAAGAGTGTGGATGTGACTCTCCCATTCAAACCCGAGCCGGGCGTGATGGCTCACACCTGTAAATCCCAGCACTTTGGGAGGCTGAGGTGGGTGCATCACTTGACGTCAGGAGTTCAAGACCAGCCTGGCCAACATGGTGAAACCCTATCTCTACTAAAAATACCAAAAATATGTATATATCTATTACCCAGGTGTGGTGGAATCCCTGTATCCCATGCCTATAATCCCAGCTACTCAGGAGGCTGAGGCAGGAGAATTGCTTGAACCCGGGAAGTAGAGGTTGCAGTGAGCCAAGATCACGCCATTGCACGCCAGCCTGGGCAACAAGAGCAAGACTCCATCTCAAAAAAAAAAAAAAAAAAAAAA